GCCTCTTCTGCCTCTCTCTTCCTCTTGCCTCCCAACTCCTCCGCCACGCAGCCTCACTCCTCTTCCTCTTCTTATTCTTTCTGGCTGTTGACCCCGTCCAATTCCTTGTCCTTCCACTGTCAGACATTGAAACATTGTGTTGTGCTCCGGCTATATATATACTTGCCAGTTGATGGTTCATGAGATGCACCTTCGTTAGAGAAAATCAAAATTCACCTGGGAGCAATTTATCAATGCAGGACAGATTTAGAAAAAAAAGTCGAATGGAAATGTATAGAAATATGCTTGACATATTATAACAACTTGTTCAACCATTTTGCATGTAAAGGCTTATGCTATGAACTAATGCCTAAATGTTGTGGGGGGTGAGACTATTCAACAGAGACCCATTATAATACATTTTGATCAACATGACATAAGCAATTGATAATGTAGGAAACAGCAGAGAATTGTACATAATCATTTGCATGGATGTACCAAAGCATTTGCAACTTGTTCAAAGAAATGAGAAACTGCTTTTTTGATGTGCACAAGTGACACAATGATGTGAAGATTGAACAGGTAGTTTTGAGAATTTCAATTCTGATCTGAGAAATGTATCAAAGCGACTGAGAAAAACTGTAAGTCTGTTTAAATGTGAACTGAGTGGAGAAGGTGCCAAGCATGTTTAGCCAATAAATTAAAAAGCGTCTACTCATCTCTCACAATCTAGAGCCAGCTATTAATCAGATTGTGACAAATGACCACAGCTCTGCTGCTATTATCTAAAATCCCACTGTTTATTAAAATAATAAATGAATACAAGCTTAATTAGACCTGCAAGTTCTCATCAGGGCCACTTGTAGTTACATTACAGATAACAATGCTTATTAGTGACCTTTGTCAATGCTATCAGTTAAATCGCACTACTACAATACAGAAGTAAAGATTTCCAGCAAGAATATCTCATATTTGTACATGTTCATAGAATATTTTATAGTACAAATGTGGAGGATTTTAACATCTTAACAGAATATTAAAGGAATAGTTCACCCAGAAATTAAAATTTAAAGTAAATTTACTCACCCTCAAGCCACCCTCATTGGAACAGATTTGGAGAAATTTAGCATTACATCACTTGCTCACCAATGGATCCTCTGCAGTGAATGGGTGCCGTCAGAATGAGAGTCCAAACAGCTGATAAAAACATCACAATGATCCACAAGTAATCAACAGAACTCCAGTCCATCAATTAGCATCTTGTGAAGCAAAAAGCTGCATGTTTGCAATTAAAAATATATTTTAAAGATATTTTTAACTTTCTCGTCTGTATCAGGATAGAAATATACACAGCTCAAGCACCATTTATAAGTGAAAACAGTCCAAGATAGCTCTAAACAAGTTTGTTGATGGACTTGATGCAAGAGGACAGCAGTGGATGGACCTTTTCACTGGAGGAAATGTTATTATGGATCATGGACTATTTTAGCCAGAAGCGACAGCTGAAATTTAAAATGCCTTAAAGGGTTAGTTCACCCAAAAATGAAAATTAGCCCATAAATTACTCATCCTCAAGTCATCCTAGGTGTATATGACTTTCTTCTTTCAGACAAATCCAGTTGGAGTTATATTAAAAATGGACTTTGATCTTTCAAGCTGTTTAATGCCACTCAGCAGGTGTTGCAGTGCTTCAATCCAAAAGAAGTGAAATAAAAAGTGCCCATCCATAAAAAACAAAGTGTCTCACACGGCTCCGGGGGGTGAACAAAGTCCTCCTGTAGCGAATC